AAAGTTTGTAGGTTGGAAAACTTAAGCACCCATAATGCACTAGGTTTGTTGCCATCCAAGGCCACTCTCGATTGCTTGATCGATTACTTGATCGATTGCTACTGTTGCTCGATTGCTCCTGTCTGCCTGCCTGTCTGCCTGCTGCTGTTGCTGCTGCTGCTGCTGCTGCTGAGTTGGTTTGTATCTGTAAGCTTTGTATATCTTTCTGTTTTGAATCATTATTTACTATCATTCCCTGTTGTTTATACTGCTCCTGTTTAAAGAAGTGATGAGATAGTTGGTAGACTGTGCTCACTCAATGGCTGTTGTCTAAGTGGTGTCCGCAAAATAATATAGAATTCATAGACAATTGGAAATGTTTTTGGGGCAGACCTGACCTGTTGATAAGAGATGGTATTCATCCCTCCTGTGATGGTGCTGCTCTTCTCTCTAGTAATATGGCACATAGTCTTAGAGCTCAAACATGACAATCTGCGGCTCAGGTCAGCAAGCAGACAGACTGGCTAAACCGACCATCTGCCAGCTGTCTCACGTCACTGAGGACAGATTAATCCCATCACATAGAGACTCTTTCACCTAGATATCATCATATAGAGACTGTGTCTGTTCCCCGAATTAGGAAATACAAAACACTTCCAAACCCATCTATGGGTAAAAATGTAATTGATGTTCAACAAATAAAAAAAAGATATAATACAAATGAACAAATGATAAAGCTCGGGTTGCTGAATATTCAATCCCTTACTTCAAAAGCACTTATTGTTAATGATATGATTACAGACTATAACCTAGATGTGCTGTGTTTGACAGACACCTGGCTAAAACCAAACAATTACATTACTTTAAATGAGTCCACCCCCCAAGATTACGGTTATAAACATAAAGCTAGAAGTCGGCGTGGTGAGCGGCGGGAAAACCTCCGCGTGTGCTTCATTAATGTGGTGGGAGCAGTGGAGATTGTGTATTGTGTCACATATTTTCTGCTGAATGTTTGGTGTTAATTAATTTACTTTACATAATCTACCCCATATCATCTTGGATGAAAAGAGATCTCTTAAAATAAATACATTAACTTGATGCGTGTCTTGAGTCATCCTTGGTTTTCTGTTTTCACCCGGAGTATATTTATTTTGTTAGTCTTTCACTCCTAGACATATCAGGGACGTAACACTCGTATGAAAGGCAAAGGGGGAGGTGTTGTTGTAATTTCTAGTAATATTTTCAGAATTACTAAGGAGTCTAGTTTCAAATATAATTCTTTTTAAGTGTTGGTGCTTAACCCTCTGGGGTCGATTTTTTTTTTCACATAGCAGCAAAATAGACTTAAAATACTTTTTTGGTCATTTTTGGTCATACAGACTTAAGAAATATGAAAAAATAAACTGTTAAATGTCTTCTTTTTTATGTGTCCACTTACAATCGAAATAAAACATTGTGCTTTTGTAAAATAAAGAAAAAAAACAGGGTGTGCTTTCTGGCTCTCCATCTCCGTGAACTTTTTTTTTGGAGCACGTCTCTAAACTTAAACAAAACTCAGCGAATACTATTCACCCAGGCACAAGCTACATATCTTTACAATCATTTAAGTGTGTACTTTTAAATAATCTAATTCATAACAAAAACAAATATTCTCTGTTTATGTAATCTATATGAAAAGAGAGAGATGTCAGTCGTTCTCATTTCAGCTCATTATCTTTTAATTTGATCACGCCCACGGAGAGCGTGTGCTATTCAAACGCAAATGATCTGAGGCGATCCATGCAAACGTGTCAACGCCCCCACATCAACTCGATAAAACACAAGAAGTTTAATCAGATTACAGTACTTTACGTCGTCTTGCGAGGCTGTGAGGAATAATCCTGGGGAATTTGTTAAGAAATGTGCACAAACGCGCATACATATGGACTGCGCTTTATAAATGTGAAGGTGAAGGTGACTTGACTTGACTCTCAATCTGCTCCTATTGGATAGGCTTATGGTCTAATACAGCCTTGTTGTTTTAATAGGATTTTTTATTTTTTTTGCAAACTTTTAATTACAATGTATGTCAACTTGTATTGTTCATGGGTGCAAGAATTCAAAGAGTAAATGTGTACCGGGAGTGAGTTATTTTCGGTTTCCAGTGAAGGATCCAGAGCGTTGTAGGCCGCAAAGAATTGTAAATATGGAGATAATGCCACAACGGAAAACCTGAAAAAAAAAAATCCTCTGTGTTTGTAGTCTCAAACAGAGGGATAAAACTGAATGAAACTGCCATTTCATTCATTCACTGCAAACTATAGAATTTAGACCATGCAGTATAAAGAGTAGACAAAGTATGATATCATTTTCAGTGATAAACCTTTTCTTAAATTAATTGTTTTGTTAATAACCTTTTGTCAATCCGATTGTTCGTGGGAGATGATACAGAAGGACAATCTGTACGAAAGCACTGGAGCTATCAAAAGTCCGCAGAATGATGTTTTTTTGCATCATTCGCTGGACTTTTGATGACAAATAAACGCACATTTCTTGGTCCAGGTAACATGGAGGAATAAACATTTATATATACCGAGATTGTAACAATACAAAGCGGGTTGAAAATCTGCGAAATTAAACTTTAACCCACAGACCAGCAGTCTTTAATACATTTTCTATAGCCTGACCCTGGACAGACTATTCTTTAATGGGAGAGACTCTTCTTTAATGCATTAAAACAGACTCTAGAATGTGTATTAAAAAAAAGGGTTGACACTGACTTCACTCGAAAAGACTATCACGACAAAGAGCAAAAACAGTTTGCTGCTGTAAGGAGGCGATAAACTATGATCAATAATTTAGATTCTCTTTCTTTTTCTCTTTCTTTTTCTACTACTCTCTCAACACAAAGGCTTTAAAATGTGCTACACTAACCAGGGGAGACAGAACATTTTAAAAGCTGTGACGGAAACCTTCCATTTTTCAAGATGTTGCATTAGCAAGTGCTACAAGGTGATATGTTATGACAACACGTAAGGGGCAAGGACAGCATATTTTTTGTTAGAATGTGGTGAAAAAGTGGAAAGTCTGGAAGTCTTGTACCTGTATTACTACTGACTAAAAAAGTTTGAGAGCTGTTAACTAACTGAGTAAAGCAAATTCACAGAGTGAATTTGGTGAAAACTCAAAAAAAAAAAAAAATGCTATATTCATTTGCAAAAATAATCAGACCAAATACCTCATTGTTTTTTGTGAGGTATCCTCTGAGAAATTCTGAAAAGCATGTGGGACATTGGCAAGTAAACCATGCACTTACAAATATGCAATGCAATTATGCCCTTGCCCATAATGGTCCGGAATCATCAACTTTCTTGTCCCTGGGAGGTCTAGCTAACAACTTCTCTACAACACGCCATCCCGGCGGGCAAACACAATGAGAGTGACAAGCCTTCATTAAAGCATCCAAATTCAAATGTTATTCTTAGCCTGCAGAGCAGTGAAGCCATATTAAATGAATTCATATGAGACAGGGCCTAGAAGAGAACGGAGTGACACCCCCTTCCAGTACTAAAGTATATCTAGTGTGCCACCACATAGGGCCCTATCATGTGCCACCTTCATTATCAGCACAATCCCTGTGGACAAGCACTATTATGAATTTAAAACTCTGCTTAGATTTACAGTTCTGATTAAGGCTTATGTATCTTGTAATTCAAATGCTTGAGATGACAGACCGGGATAGGGTGAATAAGTGATCCAGTTGGTTTTTGCTGAGGTTTAACACCTTATGTGAGTGAAAAAAAGTGCTAAAAAAAATAAAAAAAATCTTGTGACAGGAAAATAATCTTTCAATCACTGGAAAGCTACGGTTTTGACACTGCATTTTAACCATGCAAGATACAGTACAATGTATCCAGACTATTGCACATGATGAATTAGCAAAATGTCACTGTGCTATGTTATTGGCTTTCTGGCAAGAGCAGTCACAGGGTAAAAGGATTTCATAAATATTTTTAAGCTATGTACGTACTGCAAATGTAAAATTCATGTATGTTTAATGCATCAGGCGTGTTGCCGTTAAACTCTGAACACAGCAGAGACAGCAAAAACGTACTTTAATACTTTAATAAATTGCATACGGTTCAGTAGGGTGCAGATCAACATCTAGCATCGATTTGGAAATCTTTTCAAGCACATATAGTAGCTTCTCACAATCATTTCTGCAGTGCTTCAAGAATCGCCATTTCTCATCCATTCAAGTATAAGCCTTTTCTTTTTGTTATGGGAAACCTCAAGGTTATGGCGTTCTGATAAATTAGCAGTAATATGATGATATAGTACCTTTTTTCTGTAGGTTGATGGCCATTTATAACATTCAGGATGAGGTTAAAGTTTTGGAGAGATGAAACCAATCCTAACTCGGAGATGACCAATCTCTCATTGTGACTGTGCACGAGCAGCCCAGGTGCTGTGTCGAAATGGCTGGTGGAATTGGTCTACTCTGTCTATGGCAGCTGAACACATTGCTCTGGACAGCTCCTGGCCAAGCTAGTCACAATTCAATTCCCTGACTCATTCATCAAGCACTTGGGGTGTTTGGGTCACAGGCTGGCCAGCTCCCGATCATCCTGTTCATTCAGAGTCCTCCATCGATAAGAAGGCATTAGTCTACATCTGCCAGCTCATCTGAAAGGGCTGGAGAAATCAGGCTGGATTTGTTTACTGTTTGACAACCTGCTGTCCATTGAATTTGAAATCCACCCCACCCCCCCAAAAAAACATTGATTTCATTGATTTAAGAAGCCAGATAACAGAATGATTGAATAATGCATTAGTTCACCATTTTGTTTTGTGAAAAATCCATGTACATATGTTGCAAGTGTGTGGTGTAATAAAATTAGATTGCTCTCATTATAATCAACTAAGCTGTCTAAATACAAACACCCAAAGTCACCAATTGATTCCATTGTAGACTGGATGCGGAAGTTGTTCAACATGCATCATGGACTTTTTACAGAGACTACCAAGAGTTGAAATCATACCTCATTGTGTAGAGAAGAGTTCCATTGTCTACCAGTCGCAGAAGTTTATTAGGTGTAGTCATATTGTGGGCTACTGACTTCTTCCCATTGTGGAAGAAGGTATCAGGAGTCCAGATCTTGCTGGCGAGCAAGTTGTTAAGTGGAAGGACCTGCATAGGCCCATCAAACTTCAGCCTCTCATCCCGCCAACTTTGCCGGAAGAACACATCAATCGTGTACTCCTAGAGGAAAAAAAAAAGAATGAGTCAAGACTCTCTGACAGCCCTTTTAAAACTTCACTTCACCCCCCAAGTTTCCACGTTTCGCATGATGTAATGTCCTCTTAGTGAGACAGCATGCGCTGGTGTGTGAAGCACTTCACCAATCTTGGCAAATGACTCAAGAGCGGGAAAAAGATTTTGACTTTTGCTCAGATTTGACATTTAACAGATCTTCCTGTTTGGCTGGCCCTGATTGGTCGAGATGCTTTTCTCAGTTGTACACTTCAATAATTCATCGCACTTTAAGGAGAGATTCAGCCCTGTCGGTGTGAGATCCTTGAGGCTCCTTCAAAAGTTCAAACTCGAATGATTGCGTTTTCACAGCTGTCGCTGGAGGGATAAAACAAGCTTTTTTCCAAGAGTTATCTCTCTGACCATATTGCCAACATGGAACAGGGGACACTGTCCTCAGTGAACCTTTGCTTAGTTGGGAGTAGGAATCATCTCAAATCCACAGTGTCTTTTCCAGTGATGAGTATTGCTCATGTTTTATAACCTCCATTATTGATGATGCAATCCTCTACATGTTCTCCATGGGAACAAACATCAAAAGAAATCTTATCTGCTTGCATTTGCCTTTAATAAGTCATCTAATGCCATGCATAAAAATAGTGGCAAAAAGTTCTTCATGTGTTAAAAATTAATGTTGAAATCTTTAGAGGGCAGCATTAATCACTGAGAAGCATCTATAACTGATTATTGTAATTGAGTAAGTGACAGCAAACAATTACAGGACATGTCTCTTTTTTATGTTCTGAATTTCAACAGAGAACTATGAGTTTTTTTGTCACGCTTCACAAGGTCCAATTTGACGGAATGTTATTTGGGAAGAAACAGACGAAAATCTATGTTGCCAAGTCAATCATAAATGTCAAGAAGCTCCTGCACAAAGGCAGAAAACAAGTCAGATAAAGCCACTAATTCCAAATGCATTCTAGCCTTCAGTAGAATGTTTTCCCACAATAGCAGGAATCATACTCACTGTTGCTCACTTAATGATGGTTTATGGAGTTTGCAGCATTAAAACATGAATGCTCTTCATGTGCATGTCTCTGTACATAATTTATTTAGTAAGCTCTAGACTTCAATCTGAAGTTCTCAGATTAAAATTCTGTGGGCACTTCTTTTCCAAAGAAGTAGTCTCCACACCATGAGAAGTAAGGAACAAAGTGAAAGCTGACATCAAATGACATCTACATAAAAAAGCACATGAGTAAGTTCAAGCAGGGTTTTCATAATCAAATTAAATGCTTTTAAGACCTGAACATAAAATGAATACCATTTAACACCAGAATAATCCCAAACAATCTCAAAATGCATCATGTATCACAGATTGTTTTTCGTCACTGAGACAATCTGGGACACACTTTCGATAACGCCTTGGAACTTAACACAGCTTATCAGCAAAACAGGAAGTGGAGCTGGAGCGGAGTGATTATAGAATGCTTTGAGCAAGGAAGGGAAATTACTGTCGCTCCACTACACTAACATACTTTGCTCAGAGTCCCCTAAACTCACCAGAGTGAGTCTTGTGTCTTTCCATCCTCAAATTTAATACCTCTACAAATGATTAATAGAATTACATATTTTTAAAATACTATTTAAGATATTTAAGACTATTTACAGCCTTATTTGTTTTATAATTTTAATGTTTTAATACTGTTTAAGGGCTCTATGAAGTGTTTGTAGCATAGAAATTTGTTTTAAAAAATTGGGTCAGGGGTGTGCAGTAATATACAGTAAAATACTGTTTCTATTTTGAAGTGAACATTTAAAATAAGATCCATGGGGTAAGATGACCCCTGGCAGAAGTTGAGGCACCACAGTAGTGGTCATTATTTATTCATTATTATAATTCATGGATATATTATTTAATAATTATATGAATTAGATGCACATTTCAAAACAATTTCATTCTTCATCATGACCTAAAGGCCAATAGAGTTGAATCATTCAATCTAATTAATGATTTTAATTAAATATATAGGCCTATATATAATAATAGAATTGCATTTTATTCAGATGTAACTATTGTTTATTTTGTCTTTCATTATTGAAGTAAACTGTTTGGTAGAGAGAATGGAATACTGTTTAGTGTCTTTGGAATATGCACTTTACAAAATAGCACACAGACCATTGCAAAAGCCCATGTTGCACACTGAATATGTATTTTATTTTGAGTAAGTGTCTTACATAGATGGTGTATGTTCATGCTAGAAACTGTATAAGACTTCAGTGAAGTTTAGCACATAAAATAAAAAGAGAAAGAGAGAGAGAGAGAGAGAGAGAGAGAGAGAGAGAGAGAGAGAGAGAGAGAGAGAGAGAGAGAGAGAGAGAGAGGAGGGGGGTGGTGGTAATAAATTATGCATAATACTGCATAGAGGGGTTATCCAAGACAATATTTCTTACCAAAACAATGCAAACCATGCACTTAAATATTGCAAATGCCCTTTCCTATAACCCATCAAAATGACAATTTGAAAGATGAAGTACTCTCCTTCTGCTCAGGATTATTTTATTTTTTCCCGCATACATTTTATAATAAAAATATTTGTTTATAGCAAGTACTTACTAGAGCCCGACCGATATATCGGCGGGCCGATATTATCGGCCGATTTTAGGCATTTTCCTAACTATCGGTATCGGCATTTATAATGGCCGATAAATGAATATTTAAAAAAATGCGGGTGCAGTGATTCATGTCAGGGTGGCGCTGCCAATAAAGCACCTAAAAGCTGTCACAAGAACTGGCAAAAGTAATGATTATGAATACAACAAATATAGCAAGGAGACATTTTAATTGTTTATTAATAAACAAGTGTTTTCAGTCAGTGTCAGCCAAAGATGAAGTTGACGATGCTGACTCGCGATCTTCAGTGAACGCGTGCCAGAGAGAAATGCACATTTCATACGATTAGCCTTCATGAGTCTGTCTGTCTTTCGTTTTGAATTGTTCTGTTTAAAAGTAGACATTTCAATATAGATATATTTCAATTCTCAGGTCTATACGCTGAGTTTCGGTTCATGAAACGAGCTCCAGTTCACCCGCAGGCGCCTCCGTGTCGAGATTATCTATCGTCTGCTATATTTACTTCTTATAAATTAAATCCAGGCAAATGGTTGATGAAACATTGATTAAAATTAAGATACAATTAATACAAAACGAAATTCACTTTGAAACGAAAGGTTTTGTGCTTTCTGTTTGATGTCTATGTGAAAGTTTCAAAGCATTAGTGCCGCTTTCAGAGCGCTCACGTCCGTAGTGCTGAACTGTTGCGTCTGTAACATTGTTTTTTCCTCATAAATGCGAACACGAAAAATAAAATAAAATGAATATTTTATGTAGCCTGTGGAGTCTGAGAGGCAACCCTTCTTCATCCGGTGGGTAGTAGCCTACTTGTGATTTGCGCAGTGTAATTCACAGAATTGATTTCTCTGCTACAAGCCTCTGTCACGTATTGTGTGAGCTTGTGACTATTGCAAGCGCGCAGCTGAGAAGTCCTGATTATATTGTCTGCTATATTTAGGCCTACTTCTTATTTATTAAGGCAATTGGTTGATGAAACATTGATTAAAATGCGTGGCGCGAGCGATCTCCGACAGTAAACTGATTCTGCTGTGTCTCGGGTAAACAGCTGTTGCGACGCGAGCAGTAACGGCCGCGTCCGGTGTAGACACAGTGTTAAAGCTCATTCTGCCTATAACGCTACGTTACAACATCAAGCAATATTCCAAAAATGTATATAATTATAACACTTTATATAGGGCCATTTTGCATTAAGAGTAGCCTAGTTTCACGTTTAGTACATTTTGGTTACTAATTATTTAAAATAGTATAAAAGTACTGTATGTAATTAAAAACGTTTTCATTATGATATTATCAATTTTACTTTAGTAAAAAAGATCTGAGTTATTCCTCCACTGGTAGAGATTAGAGGAATTAAGAGTAAAAATAGAAGATAATAAGGTTTTGTCAGTGACAATTTTTATATATTTATTGATACAAGTTATGACTAAATTAAAAGACAAAGTCGTTAGTGAAGATTATGCAACAGTATTTAGAATATAATATAATATAACATGCAATGCAAACTAGTTTGGTTACAGCTCAACTGTATAATTCTCATTCTATTATTCCCCCTGCCTCCATTACATATCTGTGTCACAAGAGTTTGATCACCACATTTGAGTGATCATTGCACAACGTGTTTATAAAATATATTTATTCTGTTTATAGCTACTGTGTAAAGTACCCATCAAAAGTTTGTACACACCAATAGGAAAGTGTCCAAACTTTTGACTGGTATACTGTACTATAATACACATAAATAACATTGCTACTGTATTATAATATACACATAAATAATATCGGCCGATATATCGGTATCGGACTTTTTTCACTCCCTAATATCGGTATCGGCATCGGCCCCCAAAAATCCATATCGGTCGGGCTCTAGTACTTACCAGACTGATGTTCCCTGTATGTAGATGTTCACTTACAAATCAGCACTAACATGGTTTCCGCTGCATGATTTCATAAAGTGACAAATAAATACAGCACTATTGCTTCAAGGCAAATTGGAATGGGACAAGAAACAGAAGTTTACTCTTCATGAGAATGATTGTGACATAGTGTTGGCGAAGAGCAATGGTCACTTTGGAATGTGATTGGACAAGCACATATTTTTCCACAATACAACCCAATGAGAAGGTTGTTTGCTTGGAGCTTTTTCAGAAAGCTGTACAGAATTCTGTTGTTTTGGTCAGACAGGAGAGACGTGTTATGCGGATAAAGCACAAGCAGTTAGTGCGCATTACCCGATGTGCCATGCAGTGGTGATCGTATGGGCATCGGGATCAGATTTTCTTTTTTTTTCTTTTTTGTTACTACTGACACTTTTGCAGATTGATGCAAGGGTTTTCAAAATGGGGGTAAATGAGATTTGACAGAAAAGGTGATT